GGAAGGGTCTAGAAGACAGAGGTAAACTGATGCAGAAGAAAGGAGAGCCCAAGAGGGGAAGTCCTTGGGGAGGTAAAAGGGGTAGGACCCAGAGCTGGAAATGTTCCATTCCTGAGGCCAGCAGGTGCTGTGGTGGTTAAGGTGCTGGACTCCCACATGGCCAACCATGGTTCACGTCCTGGGCCTGACAGCTTGCTTTCTCACTTTCCCCTTCTCTTTCTCTGGTCAGATTAAAGCATAATAACAAAACTAATTTTTAAAAAATTTCTATTCCTGTTTTTTTTTTTTTTTTTTTCCCAAAACAACACTAAAAATGAAGTTTTGGGGAGGCTAGCCAGTGGTGTGGTGGTTAAGGCAGTTGGATCACACATGGCTGGCTAACTTGCTTGAATCCTGAACCCAGCAGTTTAAAAGACATGCCAGGTGAATGTGTGTGTGAATGCCCAAAATCCCAGAAGGAGGGAGAAATGGAGAAAGGAATGCAATGTGCTGTCTCCCATGGAGGGTGCTTTCTCTGTCTTGCAAGTACACATGCCCTCTGGCAAAATCGAAAACAAAACAAAACAAACAGAAGGGGGAAACAGTGAGGCCAGCCAAGTGGCATGGTGGTTACGGTGGCTGAATTCCACTGGCTGACTGAGCAGTTTGAGTTCTAGACCTGGTGGCTTGAATAACACACCAGGCGCGTAGGCATACCTGCCCAAAATTCTGAGGGGAGAATGGAGGCGAGGGGGTTGTGGTGGCCATCCCCCCCGGAGGGTGATTTTGATTTCTCTTTCTCCCTCTTTCTCTCCAATGAGCAAACACATCCGATAGCAAAAACTTTAAAATATAAAACAAATTAAAAGTGCATGTGATTTTAAGACAGGGCCCCACTGCGTTGCGATCTTCCCCAACAGCCAGGACTGCAGACGAGGGGGGGCGGGGGGGGGTGACATCAGCTTTCACGGTGGGCAGGGAATTGAACAAGGGTCTCCCACGGGGCCTCGGCCCGCTAAGCAGCAGGGTCTGCCAGCACACGCTGTCACAGTGGGGACACAGGAGGGGTTTACGATATGGGGGTTATTGCTCACTTTTAAAAGTTTTGAAGAAACATTCAGATTCCCTTGCCCACTCCTACCAAAGTGGGAGCTATATTTTCATCCAAGGGACGAAAGTCTTGCTCAGAAGTGTTTGATCCCTCCCAGAGGGACACGATAGGCACAGAGAAAAGGTCTTAAAGTGGCAAAGGGGGCAGGGAGGGTAACAGGTCAGGGTCCACAGTCGGGTCAGACCAGCACCCCTCCCATTCTGTCCACAGCTCAGCCAACTCAATACCGCGGTGAGCGCTCTCAGCTCTGCGGGCAAGCCGCTGGCCCCTAGTCCTACCACGATTCAGACCACGGGGCCAGGGGAACCAAGTCTGTGCAGCAGGTCAGAGAAGGCCCCCTGGGCAGGGCTGAGACACACAGACACCCGGCTCAGCTGCAGGTGTGGCTTGCAGGGGAACAGATCAGATCGTGAAGAGGAAGTGCAGTGAGAGCCAGGGGCAGCTGGGGACAGAGCCACCCTCTCCACGGCCTGCACACGCCCATCTCTAGCAGCCCAGAAGCCTGCACACCAGGCTGGCCCTGTGTACACCCTGGTCCCAATGGCACCACTGAGACGGACCGGACCCGTTGCTAAGACCAGTGTCAGGAACCGTGTGGATTGGAACCGGAAGAAGTGAACTTTGTCCGGTCTGTGGACACCCCTCACCTAGAGCAAAGGGCAGCGCCTGACATGAGCAGATACCCCCGTTCCAGGCCAGGCCAGAGGTGGCCATGTTCTGGCTAGTATCACCTCTGGGCCTCCCTTTGCTCCTGCACTGCAATCTCCTACGTTAGGAAACACACTGGCAGCCGAGTGGCAGGTGGGAGCTGTAGTCTGGGGCTTCACACAGCTCTGGGAGCCCATGGGCACTGACCTGGGTGGAGCACGGGAGTCCCAGGACTGTCTCTGCCCAGGTAGGGGCCTGCCTAGGTCTTGGGCCTCACCTTGTTACCACCTGGCCTCACAGGGGAGACAGCACTTCCCACACAGGCCCTTCTGACTTTACTCCCACCTGGAGTTCATGACCCCGGGAAGGCCTCAGAGCCACGTCAGAGCTGAGGCACCCCGGCACTGGCCAGTGTCCGTCCACGTGAGGGGGGCCAGCCACTCCGTTCCCCTTACTCTAGGAGAGCTCTCAAACCTTGGTGGAGACTACCAGGTCTCTGGTTAAAAACGGTAATATTGGGGGGCCAGCCAGTGGCGTGGAGGTTCCGGCGCTGGATCCCACATGAATGACTGCGTAGTTTGAGTTCCAGACCCGATGGTTTGACAGTCATGCCTGGCACCTGTGCGTGATCAAAATCCCTAGAAGAGCGTGGAGAAGGAATTGCAGTGTGACCATCTCCCCGGGGGAGATTTCTCACTTTCCTTCTGTGTCTCTCTCCAGTGAGCGCACAAACCCTATAACCAAAACAAAGGGGAAAAAAAACAATATTGGAGTCCTCCCCACACCCCATCCTACAGATTCTGATCCAGCAGGGCCCAGTGCGGGTCTGGCGATCTGCAGTTTTAACCTGCTCATGGCAGACTGAGCTCTCTAGAAGCAGGGACTGAAACAGGGAAGGCCTACCCCAGGCACCAGCCCCCAGAGGGCTAAGGGAAGCCCTGAGAACCCAGGCACACCTCCGCAGCCCAGGAGGGAAGGGCTAGTGCTCTGGACAGCTCAGGCACCCACGGCTTGCCCAGTCAGAGCATGGGGGCTGCCTGCACACACGCCTCTTCCAGACCTCTAAGCTCAGACAGGTGGGGAGACACCCCCCCCAGAGCTTTCCCCTCCCTGAGCCCCATCGCCTTGCAAATGAAAAGAGAAGTCGGGGGCCTGTCAAGTCTCTTCTCCTTAACACACGCCCATTTTTGTCAAGACCTCGCCCTGCACAGACCAGGACAAGAACTAACAGATTTAAACTTCTGTGGGACTTCCGGCTCTGGGTGGCACAGGACACTCCTCTGGAACTCCTGGGTGAGCCAGGGCTTCCACTCTGCTAGATGGGCACCTCAGCCTGCGGGCTCATGACTGCCCTGCTGTCGTACCCACCGTGGGGGCCCTGAGGCTGGGTTGGGACCCATAAGAGAGAAGCCACCAGAAGCTGTGCCACCCTAGGCCAAGCCAGAAGTCCCTGGGCTCTGTCACATCTGATAGCATTCAAGGGCAGCAGCACGTGGAACGGCCCAGGCACGCACGCCATGTCACAGCCACAGCCCGGCCAAGAGGGAGGTTCCGGTTCCTGCTGGGATGTGGGGACACAACCCACAGGGGTCAGGCCACAACCCCTAGGCCTACTAAAAAGGCCTCTGGGCACATTCTCCTGCTCAGCTCCCCCAAACATGGCTCCCTTAACACTCTGTGTGGCCAGCAGGGTCCTCCAGAAATAGCAGAACGCATATCTCCCATTTCCCAAACGGGTGCCACAACAGCCCCGCAAGACAGCCTGATGGTGCCGTATTCCCACGGTGCCCACTTGTTTAAGTCCCGGCCCTGCCACATTCCCGAGGCACCGTCCTGAGCAAGCCTCTCCCACGCTGCCATCCCCTCATCTACAAATCACAGTACCAGCTTCACTCTCCAGAGTCCCTGGACCATCAAAGATATCTGTTTAATAGAAAGTGCCCGGCAGGTAGCTGGCGCTTAGTAAGGAGGGTCCTTCCTTTCTACTCCTGAGACTGCATTTCTGTCCTAGTTCCAAATCTAAAGAGATCCCAAACAACTCAGAAAAGCCAAAGAGCCCTGCACCAAAGACAGAATAAATATTTTCAGCAAACACTCAACTGAGAATTCATCAGCTCTGACTGCGCCTCCACTCCGCTTGCTGGTTGTCCGTCCCTGATTTTTGCCTTTTCTCAGTGAGGGAGGAGGGGACAGGTAAATTCAGGGTGTTCTGAACTCATGGGGCACTTAGCTACCCGCTGGGACAGGGCAGTGGGAGATAAAGGGGTTACACAATGACCTGGAGCCTCCAGGGCTGCTGCTCCGAGTTTGTGCCAAAAAGAAAACACTTTTAACTCTTTTAAATAAAGTATAAGAAGGCAGTTTCAGTCACTGTGAATCATGCAGGGGACAAGTGTCGGAAGTGTTCTCCAAAGAGAACCGGCACCTTCCCCTGGATCCTCCTAGCAGCCTCGGTGTGCAGCAGGCATGGCCTTAAGCTGGGTCGTGAGCAGTGTCCGTTTCGACAGTGCGAATTCCTAGGTGTGCACTTGCCTTGCCCTGGGCCGGAACCTCCCCAGCCTCCCCAACCCCGACCCCAGGCTCTGGACCGGGCCGCTATCTCGGACAACGCGGCGGCGGGTGAGGGGTAGGAGGAAACCGCCTTTCCGCCACGGGTGGAGATGCGATCAACCAACCTCCGGCGCCCGGGGCCTCCTCCTGCCCGCGGGGGTGGTGCTTTCACTGCGCCTTGCCGGGCGTCGGGGATTCGCACATCCGGAACCCCTAGAGCTGTCCCCACGCAGATCCCCTTAGAGGGACGCGCACAAGGGCCGCCCGCGGGGCACAGAGGCCGCCAGGGTCGCGCACTAGGGCACCAAGAGAGACTCGGCAGCGGGACGCACGTGTCTCTGGGCATGGCCGCGTCCTCCCGAAGCTCTGAGCGCCCCGCGAGCCCCAAGCCTGGCCCGTCTGGGGGGAACAGCAAACTGGGCCTGGAGAGAAGGATTTGCGGGGCTTTGACCGGGCCTCGGGGACGCCGCGCGTCTCACCTGAGCGGGACGCGAATGGCCAGGTACCTGTCTACGGCCACGGCCAGGAGGCTGAAGATGGAGCTCTGCGTGAGCACCAGCACGAAGCAGGCGAGGAAGAGGCAGCTGTGGAAGTTGGTGCAGAAGCCCAAGCTGATGGTGATGGCAAAGGGGATGGCGAACAGCCCCAGCGACACCAGGAAGTAGTTGGTGGGCGTCTGCAGCGCGCTCGACGTGCCCACCGCGGCGCACACCAGCACGTTGCCCGCCACCGACAGCGCGGCGATGGCCAGCTCCAGCGCCACATACAGCGCGTCCTGCACCTCCAGCGGCATGGCCGGGCCGGTCAGGGCCCAAGGCGTCGCCTACCGGGGCCGCGCGGGGCGCGGGACAGCCGCGTGGGTCCCGCTGGGCATGGCCGCAGCGCCGGTCTGCGCCTCTGCCCGCCGAGTCTGAGCAACCAAGCTGGCGCGCTCAGGGCCCTGGCCCGGGGGGCGGGGCCTCTGGTCTGGAGGCGGGCTCTCTGGTCCGGGGGCGGGGCCTCGGGCAGGCGGCGTTGCCCACTGGCCTGCGCACCCGCCCGTCTCGGGTTCCTGGGCGGAGCGCTCTCTCCCCGGAGCCGAGGTCCGAGCCCGCGCGGCGTCCTCGTGCTGGCAGACGTCTAGGAAAGGCGAGTTCCCAACTTCCCTCGGGCGCGAACCCAGTGTGTGTGTCTGGAGCAGTCGCACTGCCTGCCCTGGTCGCTCATGGGGTTGGGACTGGGCTCTCCTGGGGCGCCTTCAGTCCCCAAGGTCCTCCGCAAGGCCACCCTATTGCCCCGCGGGGCGAGTTGAGGACCAAGGCCATTGAGGACTCCCCTGCCCGCACCCTGAGCCGGCCGAGCTGCCCGAGCAAACCGGACGAAACGCCGCTCGGAGGTGAGAAGGAGAGCCGAGCCCGCGGGCCGCCTCTGGCCACACGTCCCCACGACGGCAAGGATCCCTCAGGGGTGCTGCAGCCCTGCGCTTCCCAGCCCTGCCCTCTGCCGCCGCTTCAGTCTCCTGGTCCTCGCCCGCTCCTCCGCCCTCCCGGCCCCTCCCCTGCCGTCCTCTCTGCGCCTCCCTTATTGACCTCTCCATGTCCTGCGCTTCCACTCCCCCTCCCTAAAAATGCCAGTGTTCCCGGGCGTCTTTAACCTCCGCACTCACCCTGGATCAGCCGGGCTCCCGCGGCCTCTCTTGTGGCCCTTACATCCTCCCCTCCGGTCTCACCATCCAGCTCTAGCCTTCTCCCGAGCGAGCGCCACATCTGGCGCTCGCCAGGACAGCCTGGCGCTCCCAAATCCAGCAGGTCCCAAGCCACGCTTCTCTTCAGGTCTCCCCCAAACCTGTGCTGCCGCATCTTTCTGGGACTCGGTTATTGCTCTGGCCGTCCTCACCCACCCCAGGGGTGCTCTGATGCCCTGCGCCTTTATCCCACCCACGCCCGTGGCTTCTGCTTGCAGAGCCTGGCTTCTCTCTGCCTCCTGGGTCTTGCAGCTCCTGGAGTTTCTGCAGTCTCAGAGACGCCCGGTCCGTGCCATCCCCCACACAGACAAAGCCTTGGCAAGACCAAAGAGGATGGTTAAGGAGACTGTGGGCAATAAGAAAAGACACTTGTAAAATAAAGAGATGAAAAACACGGGGGCTGCTAGAGGGTGCAGGGTTTTCTTTGGAGAGTGAGGCAGTGGTTCTCCTCTGAATTCATTAAAAACACTGAGTCATACACTTCAAATGGGTGGATCCCATGCTATATGAATGACATCTCAAAGCAGTAACTGGGAAAACCCTCAGCCCACGGAGGTCATGAGCCGTGACATCTACCTGCAAGACAAGGACCATAAGACCTCCCAAGCATTCACAGATGTCTTACTTAGCTGGGTGCAGTTATTATAGGTGATTTCCTCCCTCTGTGTTCCATGAGGTTTTACTTCTATAATGAAAAAAACTCAATGTATACATTAAAATATTAGCCAGCCCATGCGTCCCATAGCCTGGTCATCTGGGTTCAGAGAGCACCTGCTCCATCAGCCAGGCCACTTCTGTGCCTCAGGGACAAAGTCTGGAGCCCCGGGGAGCTTGGGTGGTTTGTCCTCCTCCCCCCCCCCAGCACCTTGAGTGGCAGGAAGGCTCCTGGGCTGGGGGCTTTTGCAGGGTGGGCAAGACGTGGCAGCAGGGAGGTGTCAGCAAGGGGAGCCTCCAGGGCAGACCTGGGCAGAGGCTTGCTCAGGGACAGCCACGTCCAGGAGAGCAGAGAAAGGAAAGCCCTGGCCAGGGAAGGCTCTGACGGCCAGGATGGAGTGTCGGGCCATGTTCTGGAGGTGCTGTCTCGGGCAGGGCAATGCCGACCTGGCACCATCTGGGGTAGTGAATGAGGAGTTGGCAGAAGGAGAGCAGCCGGCGGGACTGAGGCCAGCTGGTTCCCTTGAGTGGTTTCTGCACGCCTTGCAGCCTCCAGGCCTGGCTCAGCTCCAGAGTTTTCGGTGCCCGGAATCCCCAATTCTTCTCTCCAGAGTCCAGCCTCCTTCAGGAACCTTCCCTGAATAGCAGGAAAAGTTCCCCATGCCCTGTCCCCGCTATGTTGCAATCGCTGAGTTCCGTGTAACTAGTGTCACCTACAGCAGAGCCTGTCCCCTCTGCCCTCCCCTGACCCCACCCCTTTACCTAGCCCAGTGTCCTTGGACTGACGCAACCGCACCCCTCCCTCCCCAGAGTTTATGTGACAAGGTGAGTCTTCCTGCCTCCACAGTCCCCAGCCCAGAACTCTGGGTCCGTGGGGGTGGTGGTAAGGGTAGCAGGCAATGTCTGTGTAGGAAACAGGAAGAGTGGGGTCTGGAGAGAGTCATGGGGGTTAGTCTGGAAAGGAATTGGGGTGCAGTGACTGAGCCGGGGTCTCAGAGCAAAGAAACCAGGTTGATTCTTAATTAGCCTGTAGATCTAGGACAAGCTAATTAACCCGTCTACACCACCTTTCTTCTCCAATGGCATAACCCCACCACCTTCACAGGGGCCCACTGTGGGCGAGGGGGACATCTGATCTGGAGGAGCAAACACAGTGTTGGGGACATTCGGATAAATGAGGCCTAGATCCCAGAAACCCAAGTGGGTCTTTCACTGGTGAGAGCAGAAGGTGCATCTTCCAAACCAGTCGACCCAACCTGTGGACCTCTCCCATGTCCTTCCCTGCCTCACCCTGCCTCGGCGGGCGGAGCAGAACCTGGTGTCATCCAGATGTCCCCAAAGAGGCACAGCAACACTCAGAGATGTCGTGACAGAGCAGAAGGCTCTGTCACCTTCAGTAGCTTTCCTCTTAGGCTTGTTGCCTCATGGTCACAGAAAGACTGCCACAGCTGCAAGCCTCACCTGTTCACACAGAACCTCTTCCAAAGCACGATAGCCTCTACCATTCATCATCCACCTAGATCCTGGGTCACGTGCTACCCAAAACTAATTCCAAGCACGAGGGATGGAATTACTGGGTCATCAGAAAAGTCATGACTCATGTCTGCATAGAAAAACAGAAAAATATGTTACAACTCTTCTGACGACCCAATATCAGGCCTTAGATCAAACATGGTTTAGTTCATGGGGTGGATGAAGGCACCTGCCTTCCCAATTATATGCCACCTAAATAAAATTGGAACTGTAGGGACCAGCAGTTAGCATAATGGCTATGCGCTAGACTCCCATGTAATTGACTGCAGTTCGTGTCCTGGACCCGGTGGCTTAAAACTCACGCCGGGTGCATGTGCGTGCGTGCCCAAGCCCGAGAGGAGAATGGAGGAGAAGGGATTGCGGCGTGGCCATCCCCCCTGGGGGGTGATTTCTCTCGCTTTCTGTCTATCTGTTTCTGTCTGTCTGGCGAGCACATCAAAAGAAAGATTTATAATACTAACATTTGACTTCTCATCAGGAGTCACGGAGACCAGAGGGCAGTAGATCACATATTCAAAGTGCTGAAAGAAAAAGTGTCAGCCAGCTAAGCAGTTAGCATAATGTAGTGTATTGCTTGAGGAGACTGGACCCTATATGGCCAACTCCACAGTTCAAGGCCCAGACCTGGTAGCTTGAAAAACGCACCAGGCTGGGTGCGTGTGCGTTTTTGCTCAAGATCCTGAGAGGAAAACGGAGGAGAAGGGATTGCAGTGTGGCCATCCCCCCTACCCCCGGGGGATGATTTCTTGCTTTCTTTCTCTGTTTCTTTGGCAAGAACATGTACCCTATAGCAAAAATCTCTCAAAGAGAAGAAAAAGAAAAGAAAAGAGAAGAAAAAGAAAAGAAAAGAAAAGAAAAAAGAAAAACAAACCAGGTGCATATGCGTGTGTACCCAAAATCCCAAGAGGAGAAGGGGTTGTGGCCTGATCATCCCCCTGGAGGGATCCTTTCTCTCTCTCTTTTGCCATCTAGTAAATTTTTAAAAGAAATAAAATGACCATCAACCAAGAATTCTCTAAAACTATCCTTCAAAAATGAAAGGGAAATCAAGACAGTAGATAAACAAAACTTAATCACTAACAGATCAACAGTAAACACTAAAGGGAATTATTTACTCTGGAATGAAAGGACGCTAAGCAGTAAACTTAAATCTGTATTTTTTTTTTTTAAAAAAAGCATACCAGAAAAAAGAAATTACCAACGTAAATATAAAAGACAGTGTAAAATAGTAATTACAGGGGCCAGCATGTGGCGTTGTGATTAAGGCACTGGACTCTCACATGGCTGGCTGTGGTTCAAGTCCCAAACCTAGCAGCTTGCTTTCTCACTTTATCTCTCTCTCTCTCTCTCTCTGTCTCTCTCTAGTGAGTACATGTTCCCTATAGCAAGTTAAAAAAATAATAATAAAAATAAATAAAATTGAATAAATAGTTCTTTAAAAAGTAATAATTACAGATCTGTGTTGGCTGGCACACATATATAACGGTGTAATTTATATAATAATAAGAGCAAAAAGGAGTTGCGAGGAGGGGAGTTCCAGCCCCGGGGCCCAGGCAGCGGACGACCTGCTGTGGTGATTATGAAAGCCGTACAGGAGAGCTCCTGGCTCAGTTGTACGTGGGCGAGCCAGGCACACCCACAGGCACACCTGTGACCCTGGCCAGGCTCAGTGCTGCGGAGGACTGTGGGCACTGACAAGGGCACTGTCAAGCTTGCGCTCCTCTTGGGAAGCCAACTTTTTAAAAAAGGAGTCGGGGAGGGAACGGAGCTATCTAGGAGAAAAGCTTTCGTATGCCATGTATACTCTGAAATCTTAGCAAATGAATTGATAAAGGAATTTAAATGACACACTGGACAAATCTATTCTTACTATTTAAGGGAAAATAAGGGAATAATGGAGGAATAGAGGAACAGAAAATACAGGTAAAACTCACAGCAAAATGGCAAATGTCAGTCCTACCTTAGCTGAGATTATGTTAAGTATAAATTAATTAAACACTCCAGTTA